CTTCAGATGTACAAGTAGCGGGGACGCATGTGCATGTAGGAGTTTTTCATACACATGCCTTGATAATATCTGTTTTGATACCTTGATGGTTGTACTGTGAATCAAACTGTTCCGATTTATATCATCGAGGACCACAAAGTCGTCCCACAATGTGAAAGTCATGTATTAACGTGTGTAGAACACTGATCAAATTAGTGAATCACATATGCTCAAGCACTTTAAACAAGACCAAGGTTTTAATATCACTCGACAATACTCCATGTTTTATGTTTACTCAATTTTACCTCTCTGATGAAGTACCAGAGAATGTATTGATACATACATATTTTGTCTGTCCTACTTATGATCGTGTGTTTCTCTGTTTCACTACCGACTAAACAAGTTGTTATAGTTAACAGTTGATGACTCCATGTTATTCCTATAAAAGTTTACCTGTTATGCTGTTGTTACATTTCATAAGAGGAGGACATATTGGTATGCATGTTTTTTGTTTTAATTAGATTCCTGCTGCTGTTTGTGCATGTGTTTCCATTCTATTTTCATTAACTCGTGTCCAAGTAATTTTCATGCTCAGTACATCACGTGCCTTACCGGTGCTGGTCCGTTTGATTCCTGAAGTCCGCCCTGCTGTTCTCGCCACGGACACGCGTGTTTTCGCGTGATGTATATCCGCGCTGTGTGGGGCGGACAATGTAGTGGCCCCGGGAAACATCTTCATGTGTTTGTTGCCCATTAGAAATAGACATCACACGGTCACTCGATGTCGTAAAACTCAAGGCCATAATCACGTGAATTAGCTACAGTTAGTTACAGACTTCAATACCTAAGGCTTACCTGTCACCTCTCAAAAAAAAGCAAAGTGTTCCGATAAAGTTATCGAGTATCACAAATATCAAATGCCACCCGATCTGTTTTGTTTCCTGTGTAGTCAACAACAATTGATATCGCACATGTCTTGGTTCTGAACAGAAGCTATTTTACTTCAAGAGTTTGGCAAACCGAGATCAAAACGTTCCCATGTAGTGGATATTTGAATACAAGTGAAGGGAAAAGAAAAATGTCATTCGTCAGGTCAATACTTCAGTCCAGGGGGTCAACGACGCCACTGCCCTGATGTCTTAACAAACGTAGTCCCCAGCCCGGAGCTGAGTAGTGCCTCGCACTGGGCGACTTAATGAAACAGGTCTTTCGGTTCGTTTCAAACTCACGGTGAAATACCGGACATTATATGTATAAGCTGGGAATTGTTTGACTGAAAGTTGGTATTCTTATCAAATTTTTATTTTTTCCTATTGGGTGTTAACTACAACACCGCTACGACGGTAGATTTACGGCGTGAACTGCACAGAGTACACCAAGCTTAGAACGTGCTGTCGTTGCCATGACAGGCTGTGACACACGTCAATGTAAACTTACTGCGACAGTTTATACCACCAGGTTATCAAACACTTGTTGGCGTTTCCGCCCGTGTCCGATGGCAATTTAATTTGATTCATAAATTACAAATTACGAAAATATCAAAATTCACCTCCGATTATTGAAAACGAATCCCGGAAAGTAATGGTTATTGCTCAACACGATCTCTGGTAATTAGGAGTCGTGTATGAGAGACACAGGATTGCTCTCACTGTATCGGATGTCTGTTGTGTGAGAGAGAAGACAATAATACATACAGGGTTACACTTATCTACCTAGACAAACACTCTCATTCCTTTCCTATACACGCCACGTATAATACTTACAAATTGTACTGTGACAAAAGTTTCCAAGATGGTTTGGTTCAGTTTGGTTTTAGCTTGTTGAGCGTCCTGGTCATTTTGGACCACCTCACCGTATAAGCGAGGTGATTGCATGTGCTGAGTGCATGTGTTTTTAAAAGGCTGTGACATGTTCCTGTGAGTCTTCTATGACACAAATGTTTTCCTATATTATGACAAATTATTGAGTTAAACATGATGGCACCAAAACAACCAGTAAAAAGTTCCCTCTCTAGACAAGTATGTCACATAGCACAAAGTTCGATAGGTTACATCCACAAGACACAGGGACAAAACAAGCTCTACCGAGCACACAAAGGTCACAAATGGGTTACATCACAAGACACAAGGACAAAACGGGCTCTATCGAGCACACAAAGGTCACAAATGGGTTACATCCACAAGACACAAGGACAAAACGGGCTCTATCGAGCACACAAAGGTCACAAATGGGTTACATCCACAAGACACAAGGACAAAACGGGCTCTACTGAGCACACAAATGTCACATATGACAGTAGATACTTGATGCTAGAATATAAGGCAATACCCGTGCATTCGCCGGTACGTGATTTTTACAGTACCAAATTCGGTTATACGCGATGAAATATCGTCTTCAATTAAATGCAGAAACGAAATAAAAACTTTTTATTATCAAGGTGTCCATATGTAAAGATTTCACTATATTTACATATAAACTCCAAATATAAAGTCCCAAATCTCCATGGTGTAGTAGAATGCGGCTGGCGTTGCCCGGGTACCCATGCTTGACCTAATTACAACAACATGTATGTCCAAGTTTATAAATATCCAGATTTATACCATGGTAGATATTCACAAATCCACTTCTTATTGATTGATTATCAAAAATTACTTATAAGCAAATTCGTTTTACGTATCTCAGATAACAAGTTGTCAGGCATCGGATACTTGAATAGTTTGACCATGATCTTATACAGCTCTGTTCTGGTCTCAACTCTACACCAACAAAATATGTCAGTCGTGTTCATCACATAAAATGCCTTCAGTGAATGGATATTAAAACCCAAAAAGAAAGATTGCCGACTAATTTTAGCGTGTATTGAAATTCCATTCGGGCCTTTATTCGTCATAATAATTATTACCACATTGGTAAGCGATCCTAAACAACCCGAGAGTTCCAGTTTGGCGCCGGGATTATTTCTACAAGATCCGCATACATTTCTAGTTTATCTCCCGAACATGAAGTGTCCCAAGGTCAAAAGAACTTTGCTGAATTCCCTATTTTAGATATATGATAACCTATTGCATCTTAGAACATATTTAACCGTCTATTTAGACAAGAGTGATACTGGATACGGCCCTGTCAAGTTTTCATTCTTAAAAAGGATGGTTTTCTTTGAGAATTTAAAAAGTATACCGAGTTATTTTATAGTTTCATCAAAATGTTTACGGTTCTAGCTTCTCACACTACGTCCGTGACCTCAGACAGCACGTGTGTTTTATGTTCCTCTGTGAGTAGCACTCTGTTACCGAACCTAGAAGTCCATGGCAGGCGGATGAAAGTAAAATGATCCGAGCCCAATTGGATCTGGAAAAAATAGCATGTGCATTCTTATATTATCACATTACATGGCAAGAAAATTGACATTTTATATCAATCGGAAAACTGAGTTCTTTTCATGACGTTGTGGCAGCAGACAGGTAATTCCGGAAACAGAATCTATCGCAAATAGGATTAATTAATGGTAAAAATTTCTTAAAATGCACATACATCTCAGTAGAGTTAAATGACTTGTCTAAATACCTAGTGATAGAGTCCAAAGGCATGTTTATAATTAGCGAGTTATCTCTATTTTTATACTCAGATTGAAGCTTGCACCAAACAGCCAATCAGGTCCTTTTATTGGGCGGTGATCCCGTGTTCTTCATCAACTGGTATTTCGGTAACGTAAAAACTTTCAATTAGTTTACACCGCAAGTTCATCTAACATTACAGTAAAGTGTGATACAGTTTAAATAGAAACACATATATCAATGTAAGGAACACAACGGTGCCGACTCCTCGACACATGACGTAATTAATGGCGGAAATGATAAGTAAATGTGACTTTGTATCGCAATGTAGGCACCCCGCCTCTCGGTATGGTCACGTACGTAATTAAAGCGAAGCAATGTTGTTATCACCATTGTTATTCAGAACGAGGCCAAACAACGCAATCAAATAAATGATGGAAGCAGTACTGCTGTAAGTAAGACGATAAACAGGAACTTTACTGTAAACGTAATATCTTTAAAACAACAAACACAGAAACAAAAACAAACAGACTTCTCTTGGAAACATTAATTACAGAAAAAAAATAATGTAGGGCTTCGGATATATCAAAACAGTGTGTTATACACGTAACGTACATATTCGATTCCATCCTGTCTAGAAGGAAAGAACCATAACTCTGAATGAATTGCATTCTTAAGATTTTGTAACAGGTGTGATACTGTTTAGAATTAATAAGTTTTTTACACTGTCTATCCACATGCATATGATGAGGATAATGTATTTACATTACCATGACTTCAGGAATTTTTTCTTGCATTTTCTTGCTGCCATAGTAACGATATATATAATTGTTGATAAAACATATTAACGAGGATTGGGGAGGAAATACATTTAATTCAATGATGATTTTTCCAATCGTGTTTTTTTTTCTTCTGGGAGGTAGAATTCCCCCTCCACATACGTCGGAGAACAGACGCGGGGTCAAGTATTTGCTATCTTTAGAGACATAACTCCCTTGGCAAATGTCCTTGAGTGCGGGTATCCTTTTTTCTCCTTTTAACCTCTCTCTCAATCTTTGATGAGCCCGTAAAATGCACCCACACGTCCGTGCACTTTCAGCTTGTGTAGTCTGTATTTGACAACAATCAAACCAGGCGGAGTAATATAGTCACGGTAGAACGGTTTGAAACTCCATACAGGTATACAGTACACTACCAGAATACGAGATAAACCGAGATAACTAGCTGAGAATAGGTACATTCTAAGCTGTAGGATCATATTATAAAACTCAGGTGTTTAATTCTGAAATCGTTCGTCTTATGCAGGTGAATCCACTGTGCACTCCGCACTGATGTGAATTCCACAACAGAAGGATTCTTTATTCTGATTTCGGAATTGGTTTTCGGAAGAGTTGAACACCTGGTAGTCACAGTAAGTTGTCACGGGTTGGACTAGGCTTGCTCTAAGGAGCCGTTCTGAAGACATGTGAAACTGTTCAGGAGCAGGGCCAGAGTCCTTCAAGAGGTAAGTCGAAAAGCTTGGCTCCAGTAAAATAATGTTATCAGCATGATGACGTCACAGCATTTTGTTGAATTTGTTTATGAACATTTGGTGTCTTGGTTTAAATTCGTTCGATATTTTAAGATATATTTATTTAGTACATTTGATACAATAATGATTATTCAACAAAAGTATACAACAGTGCATTGTGTAATGAGGCGATGTGATAAATTGTAGTGTAAAAAAATATCATATAATATGTTATATGTATAATGTAGTGTAATTTTACTTCGTTTGTTATCTCTACACCTGTGATTCTCGTATATACCGACCATAATATGTACATAGCTGTCCTACTGTAGAATGTATCACCTAGTACGTCACATTAGCACGTGAAAACTTTTTTCATAACTTAACTTACGTCATGTCTTTTCCCGTCCACGAGTCAACCATATTGGTGGAAAAGTTGGACATGTTCTGTGAATGTGACGGGTCAATGGTTACTTTTGGCCCGTCAACACATCCACAGAACATAATTATTGATGAAGTGGGTTGATTAAGTTACCACTTCTGTTTTGAAAAATAAACTCAAGTTTTGAACATAACTTACAACTGGTCGTGATGTTATAAAAGATAATTCATGGAGAAAGACACGTGACTTCCGTCTCGAGTCCAGCAGCTGTAACGTTCTCTACATTTCATTTCTCAATGGATCACTTTTGGTCAATCAAAATTTCAAAGTTTGCTTAATTACATTAAAATGAATGAATTGCTTGTTGAATGGGCCATGTGTTTGCCCAGACATTCCTTAGTTAGGTACTAAATCGTGTGCCGAGGGCGAAATCAGAGCGTGGGTGTGTGTTGTTTGTCATTTCTCACTGTTGTGCAAGAAAGTTCCTTATTGTTAAAATCATCTAGAATACGCTGGATTTCGCAACAAAATCCCGGAATCGGTTAAAACTCCGAAGAAAACTTATTGTTTAACTTTTAGATTGTCACAATGATAATGTCCTTCGCGACGAAAGATATCGGAATCTCCCCTTAGAACAATATATTACAACTTTCCATATGTTAATAAGAACTTTTCTTGTGACCTTGAATTCTAAAGGTCATTTCAACGTTTTAGTTCCTTCTTTACCAGGAAGGTATTTTTAGCTCATTGTGTATAAAATCGTTATTTTTTCTTGTGCCGTTTTGAGTTATGCACCATTGCAAAATTAGTATATACAATGTCGTTCGGTATTTCCTTATTGTGTTTGTGAACTATATCAATATATGGACTGACAGTGTATCGCTGGTAATAAATAAATTATAGTCTAACTACGGCTTCTTCATGTATCCGAAGGTGCCCGTAACATACCCTCTGATCTGAGGTATCGCGAGACGGAACGTGACATGGTCTCGCGAACAATGTCTGTGATTGTTAATAAATTTCTTCAGTTGAAATCCTATCATGTCTACTCCTAATTGTTGATTATTAAGGTATACGGTGATAATTACATGTCACATGCCAGCTCAATCAACTCACTTGCTGCACCGGAAATGACACTAGGGGTCACGATGAATGGTATTTCTGGTTCGGTGACATGTTCGTCTGCGCACCAAATTGTTGGTTTATTTCAGATTGCAAGATTTTGTAAGGACAAGTGTATAAATTGAATGTATGATCATAATCTTTATTTAGTGAAATAGTTGTACATGTAAAATTTGTGAAGTGGTTGTTGTGCCTATGTCGGAAATGTTAATAATATTGCTCGGACAGTGCATATGTACATGGCACAAAACACATGGTAGTTCCGTGTCTACTTCCCCATGCTCCAAGTTAACTTTTCTTCTAGCTGTGCTTACCATGTAATAAATTAAAACATAAAACTGCCAGAATATCTAAAAGGCCGAGTGTACAGAACTCTGCCGATATACGTAACGACATCACTCCACAGATAATTTTCTGGTATTTCAGAAATGACTGGCAAACCATTTATTTTTAGCTGTGTATTCAATTAATACTCATCTGAAAGTGTCAGAAAGTTGTACGTGGGCCCCAACCCTACACCAAAGTGACACATCATTATAAAAACTATTTCTAAATCAAATTGAGTGACTGAATAGGAAGTTCCTGAAGAGAATTGCACCTTGCGGGAAACATACAAAGGAGGAGTTTAAACGGTAAATTTATCATAAAAATTGGTACCTTGCAACTTTGCATATTTCTTTCGTGTTTTGCTATTGAAAATAGCATTTCTCACTTCATGGATAGGTAATGGTGGCAAAATAACCGATAGTCTGTTTAGAAGTTCGTTACACGGGCAATCAAAACGTTGCATAATTTCTGACAGCCTGAGATCGTTTGAATGTTGTAGCAGCTGGCTTACACATGTTTTCTTGTCTGAACGATCTCGCATGCCTCTTCTTCAGCTAATTCTTAAACATTCGTATCGAACGGTGGTGCGGAGAGCGGGCAATAAATCGGGATTGATTCCTGTTTGGTCGTAGATGTAACGGGGTGTACGTCGCCAAGGGCAGATACTCGTAACATCAATCTCTCCGAACACGTAACGCACGTACATTATGCTTGTTACCATGAGTAACAAACCGTGCTACAGAAATGTAATTGACCTCGTTAACACGACTAGTACATGGAAAGGGACAGATTTACACGACCCAAGGGACATATAAAACACAACAGCGGATCTGGCTCACGTGCATCAGTTTCCCTACAATATGTAAATACCAGAATTTAGCTGGTGAAACTCGTACATTATTCCAACAAAAGTTATTTTGGCAGTGAAAACATGTATTCAACTGCTATACAAGATATCGTTTATCATTGGTATGAATTTGCACTGTCTAGGAGATAAAATCAGGAAAGAAAAGTTAAAACATATCTAACGTCAATGAAACCTGCGATCGAGGAAACTCGTATGAACTCAACAATCTTCGCAATTAAGAACCGTTTGTTGCTGTGTCAGGTTTTATAGAACATATTGCTGCACGTGTTTTTCAAATGTTCAGTCATGTTATATAATTTTAAGAAATGTAGTTTAAACTGTTAATCAATGTTTGTAGTTTTTTTATCAAATAAAATACAGATATAATCGTTAAGGTGAAATTTAACACTAGGCAATATGTATTTGTGACGTCACATCGGGGAGATACATATTTCTGTTCACAATACAGCATGTATTTACCAAACAATGCTAAATAACATAAGATCAGTCCTTGTTGAGTTGTTTCAGAAGAATGACGTGGACATTTTCTCAGATGATACTGAAACCACGTCTCGACCCTCCCTAAAGTTAACTTCCGTTGCGACGGTACCACCTTATAAACACATTTTAGCCGGAGGTTGCCATTCCGTATGGCAATTTCATTTTAAAACAGTTGCCATGGTTCACAGCTTCTCGTTGAAACTACAGTAAAATGTTTAATCTAATATTTGTATTCTCATATCGGTACATAGGTCTATACATAATTATTACGAAACGGAATTTACTTATGAAATTACTATTATCAACAGAGACTTTGTGTGAAAAAGACCAAGACTTGTAGTGAACCGGAAGAGCAAGGCTAGAGAATCATTCTCATGTTGGTTCACGAAGCATTCACAAATATTGTTTTAAGTTGTCATTGTGTATTTAACGTCTGTGAACAAAGTCCAAGTGTCCGGTCCTGTGGATACAAACACCCTGTAGGTAACTGTTCGGGTGGCTAGTCCTTGACACGAATCCTGACAATAGTTGTATCATAAGACGACGGTGACGGATCCTCTATCACCCAAAGGGCCTTGTTTCTCCACACAAACTATCTCTATATACCATCCTCGGCTACGTGTTGTCGGCTCCTCTGTATACCATCCTCGACTACATGTTGTCGGCTCCTCTGTATACCACCCTCGGCTACATGTTGTCGGCTCCTCTGTATACCATCCTCGGCTACATGTTGGCTCCTACATCGGCTTGTCCGCTCCTGTATACCACCATCCTCGGCTACATGTTGTCGGCTCCTCTGTATACCACCCTCGGCTACATGTTGTCGGCTCCTCTGTATACCATACCACCCTCGGCTACATGTTGTCGGCTCCTCTGTATACCATTCTCGGCTACATGTTGTCGGCTCCTCTGTATACCATCCTCGGCTACATGTTGTCGGCTCCTCTGTATACCATCCTCGGCTACATGTTGTCGGCTCCTCTGTATACCACCCTCGGCTACATGTTGTCGGCTCCTCTGTATACCATCCTCGGCTACATGTTGTCGGCTCCTCTGTATACCACCCTCGGCTACATGTTGTCGGCTCCTCTGTATACCATCCTCGGCTACATGTTGTCGGCTCCTCTGTATACCATTCTCGGCTACATGTTGTCGGCTCCTCTGTATACCACCCTCGGCTACATGTTGTCGGCTCCTCTGTATACCATCCTCGGCTACATGTTGTCGGCTCCTCTGTATACCATCCTCGGCTACATGTTGTCGGCTCCTCTGTATACCACCCTCGGCTACATGTTGTCGGCTCCTCTGTATACCACCCTCGGCTACATGTTGTCGGCTCCTCTGTATACCACCCTCGGCTACATGTTGTCGGCTCCTCTGTATACCACCCTCGGCTACATGTTGTCGGCTCCTCTGTATACCACCCTCGGCTACATGTTGTCGGCTCCTCTGTACACCTGTATACCCTCGGCTACATGTTGTCGGCTCCTCTGTCGGCTCCTCTGTATACCACCCCTACATGTTGTCGGCTCCTCTGTATACCACCCTCGGCTACATGTTGTCGGCTCCTCTGTATACCACCCTCGGCTACATGTTGTCGGCTCCTCTGTATACCACCCTCGGCTACATGTTGTCGGCTCCTCTGTATACCACCCTCGGCTACATGTTGTCGGCTCCTCTGTATACCATTCTCGGCTACATGTTGTCGGCTCCTCTGTATACCATCCTCGGCTACATGTTGTCGGCTCCTCTGTATACCATACACCACCCTCGGCTACATGTTGTCGGCTCCTCTGTATACCATCCTCGGCTACA